TGAAATTTTTTAAGGTGTAGATGAAGAATTGATGCACATAGTTTTTAAATGACAACTTCCCTTTGGGAAAAATTGAGCAAAAAAAATTTAAAGCTAGTAGTATAAATGAGACGGTAAAGTAGATACAGCGAAAATCTTTAAAGAAGAAAGAAATGTACATAGGGCAATCAAAAAGTTTTGAGAACTAATAACATCACGTTAATAAGAAGTACATTATATTTATTTGTCTACAGCAACGATTAGAAGACATCATAACAATGTTCGATAGTAAGTTCGATTTACTTTTGAATAATTTTTTTGTATTCATCGACGTGTGTCAAACTAATTGCTCGGTTATTGCTTAGTTAAATTTATTGCATCTAGGTAGATATTTAATCTATATTCTAAAGTGGTTGAATGACAGAAGCTCAGACGAAGCGAAGTCAATTGAACGTGTCTGATAGACTATATTTATAAACATTTTCTGCTCATTTTTAACAAACTAGATACAATAATCAGAAATCTAATTTCGATGGAAAGTCTAAATATCCATTGGTTCACTTAGCTTACATTTCATCAAAGCTGTTGATAAGAGAGAAATATATCCTCTCCGAAGAAATCGCCCAATCATTCAAAGTTTTGCTAGGTTTATGAAAAATTGTATATACAACAAGAAAAATATGTTTAGATAATACGAAGACCAAAATATTGAGACGAAATGAAATAAATTCAATCGACAGTTCTTATTGCTTGTTCTCACTGCTAAACAAAGGCTTTCGTATTGTACCGAATCTGAATATGTTAAAACTATTGAAGAGCTCTTTTATTTTCTCGAATAAAAAGTTTCGTATTCATATGTATATAATATGCACAATATACTAAATTAAAAAATAAATCGAGTATGATTCGTATGAATTTGGCAGAAATATGAAAATAAATGGTAATTAAGAATGTAATAGTCATAGAACATCTTAATTTTATCAATGTCATATGAAAGTTATACACTCAATTATTTATTCAATGACCATTTATCCTCGTCTTCCTACTGAATTCTTAAAAAACATATTTAATTCATTTTGATCTTATTATCTATTTATGTGTTAGGTATTTTCAATGGATGATAAGATCTACTCAACAACAATTACTTCACAAGCAGATGAGATAACTCCATGAATCCCTTACTGCGGCGTACTTGTCTCGCTGTGGGACACAAACCGATCCAGCAAGTTCAGTGATCCGGTGACCATCAGGTGCTCGTAAACAAAGACCGTAATGACCAATTTTAGTCTTTACTATTTCATTTTTTCTAAGGAATGAATAAAACTTAAAAACTGAGAGTCATCAAATGAGTACGAATTTCGTTAGTTTAAAAATAATTTCAATTTGTAACATAGAGCTCTGTGATAATAAACAGCGACAGTTTCAAAACAAACATTCATGATTACTCATGTTAATTAATAATCAATTCAAGAAATAATTTAACATTCAAATTTTAGTTTTAAAAAATAGCAATTAAAATGTGTCTGAACTGAATGTTGTGAAAGGAAATCTGAAAAGCAACCTGATAAAATGTGAATAAATTCATTCTTCATATTTCGTTGTTTAGATTTTTTCTAAGCTAAATTCTACTTGCAGATTGATAATTCTTTTCAAATATACATATATATTTTTTTTTGCTTTCGTCTCAAAGTAATCTGAAAATAATACAGAAAAAGTTTAAATCGTTTTTTTCTCAATTCTATGTATCTCTCTATCTAAAATTAATCGAAAATCAAAAGCTACACTTCATTTTCACTTGAACTATTTCCAATGATGCCATCTATATGAGATAATATAACTCTCTGAGTTATCGATCTCAGAACTACATTAACTGTATGTCATAATTGATTTCAAATAACTCTTATGGATAGCAAGGAAACTTTAACATGCTTTTTGTATTTATAAAAAGGAAAGCAGCTTTATCGCATCAAGATTAATCGATCATTTTTATTTGCTCTTGGATAAAACATTGGTTAGTTGACGAAAATCGCCAAATTTCTATGACATGGATGAAATTGAATAATAGAATACTGATATTTCTTAAATGCGAATATTTATTAGAAAGGTATCATGACTGTGAATTTTCACAATACTCAATAAATAGAACTCGATGTCATCTCTAATAATATATTCGATATACATAGACACTCTTCTTTCTTTGGTTTCATCGAATAATGTAGCTACTAAATGGCAGAAAGCCTAATGAGTTGATCGCATTTTCCTTTTTTGGCATTGTATTAGATCGTCCGTCACGTACACAGACGAATCATTGTTGTCACAGATTCTTTTGATTAACTCATTGGTAGTTTTTGACTATTAAACATTGTCTATTATACGCGGACACTATATATAAGGTGGTAATAATTATACGTTTTCATTTCAAATATTGAAATGAAAAAAATGACTCGATTAGAAGACTTATCTAACGAAATATTCTTCGAAATATTTGATTATTTACATGCACTTGATATTTTTACGGCGTTTTCAACACTCAATCAACGTATTACATTGATACTTTCTTCAATTCCACTTCATATTGTCGTTTCCTCATCTCATTGTCATCGTCAAATAAAATTTCTTTCTTTCTATCTTATCAATCATGCACATCAAGTAGTTTCAATTTCTCTTGAAGATTCAATTCGTGATTTTACATCTGTTATTTCTTTCTTTTTCATTCAACATACATTTGAAAATCTTGAACACTGTTCACTTTACTCATCATATTGGTCAATACAATCGCGAACTGCATTGGAACAATTAAAAAATCTTATTAAACTTAGATCGCTTCGATTTATCGTAACAAATCATATGCAACTTTATGAAAAAGAGAAACAATATATAAGTCAAACTATTTTAACACATCAATCATTTTCACTTCGCTCGCTCGATTTTGTATTTTACTTCAATCATTCTCATTTAACAACTGCCGTTACTCTTAACTGGACATTAACATCAATGTCTTTAACATTTTATGATTTACCTCGTCGATTATCAATTTATTGTGTTCTACATGTATTTCATATTTATCGTGCATTAAGACGTTTACGTGTACTTATATCAATTCCTACAAATCCAAATATTTATCATGCATAGTACGTTTTTTATGAAATGATATGATTTCGTATTAGACTATTGGTGGGAGCGTTGTAATTACCGTAAGAAAGATGATCACAAACATGACTTGAACTATGATATATAGATCTCATTTTCATGTACAAACCCATGTATCCAACGAGGCCGATTTTGAAAACTGATACAGTCGTCTCACAAATCTATTTTCCTTCCAATATCAAAATCTGCATATATATGCGTTGTTGCATTAACAACACTTATATCCCTCAACAGAGTAAAGATCTGTTGTGTTTAGTTCTATATTCTAAAACGAATCTGAACTCCTTTCTTTTATGGACACCCCTCGTTGGGTTGACAAGTTTACTGATAATTCACTCGTTGTTCTTCATTTTCATTGACTTTTTTTCTGAATTGAAAATTGCTGCCAATATAGTCAGTCATTAAAATAAAAGGAAAATAAAATACCATATCTTTATGCATAATTATACATATATCTGATATTGACTATTTTCTACAAGATTATAAATTAATGAATTGTTTTTTTTTCTACGTTGATCATTTAACAACTGTATGCAAATAATAATGCATGACTCTACTCGTTCTCATTAACATCATGAATGTAATGTTTTATCTGTCGAAATATATTTCAATCATTCACATTTCCATGAAAGCTCTGCAATATTTTCTATAAAAAGAAATCAACTTTCCTTTTTGTCCAAGACTATCTGCAAATTGAGAGAAGAAAAAAAATAGAATTAAATGTTCTCGCTAATATTTTATGTTTCTAATCATTGAAAACAGGTTAAAAAAGTCATTGGGTCATTATTTTTATTTAGTGCGCCAATGTTACCAGCAGCTTTCCAAGATAATTTACCAGTACTTCCATACTTGAAATTTTTTGATTTACAAACAATAACAATGTGCAATATTGACTCACTTAGTGTTATTCTTCGTTGTATGCCTAATCTTCGTCAATTTATTTTCACTATTACGTCATCTAAACGAATCTCTCGTTATATTCGTGATTTGCTCGATGGTTATAAATGGCAACAGTTACTGATGAGTCACGCATTAAATTTAAAAAAATTTGATTTTCTTATTAGCTTATTCAGTATGCGAGCTGTAATAAACATGGATGATATTGTTCATTCATTTCAATATTTTGTTGAACATTATGATGGTTGGCATATGTCTGTTGAATGTTCAAGACTTTGGACTGAAAAATTAAGTAAAATAATAAAAGATATTATTGAGTAAAACTGGTTATTAATTTATATGATTTTTTTTTTTTGTAGAAGAATGTATCAGTTTGCGAACTCTAACATATTCAACTAATAGACAAGAATACAATTCTCTAGAACCAAGCATGATACTTGGAACATTGCATGTACAATCGACATTAATAACAGATGATCAATATCACAATTTTCATCAGCATAACACAAAATTAAAAGTTATTGTACCTATACATATAGCAATAACTGGTAATCTACCATCTTCTGCACCATTTCAAAATGTTCAACATCTTGTGATCGTATTTCAACAGTCAACATTAACATTATGGGAAAATTTATTGAAACTCAGTAAGAAGAACATATTTATTTCATTAATTCCTTGAGATTGCACAATTGAATCATGTTATTTGTTTACTTTTATTTAGTTTCTATGTATCATCAGGAAAATGATGAAATTGGCTCTAAACAATATGTGAATGTACTTAAGAGTTATGTAGATTTATCTACAATAAAGAGAATAGATTTTGAACCAAAGAATGATATATCTCAACTTTATTATATTGAACAGATCTTATTGTAAGTTAAATTTTATTTTTTTGTCAAACCCTATAATATATTTCGTTTTGAAATGAATTGATTTTAAAGAGAATATATTTTAATAGTTGAGAATTTTTCACTATAGATAAAGTCCAATAGATTGGTTCCGAGTAATTTGTTATAAAGACTTTTTTCAGTATAAAGTATAGTGGTGAAGATTGCATATTTTATGAATGACAAATAAGCATTAATTGCACGATATTTGGAATGATTTTACTTTATAATTTTCAAGTTTTAGTCGATTCTATGTATGCTAGTCCACATACTTAGAGTTTTGTACAACGTAGTATAGTTTGAAACAGACACATCTCAACAAAATTGTATTAATAAGGATTAGAAGTATTTGTTTTAATTTGAATGATTCTCATTAGATGTATCTAGAGAAAACGGTTGAATCTCGTTTTTTTCGAATGGAAATCAATAATAAGATTCATTATTTAATATTTAAGTCTTCCTGTTTTTTTTTTGTTGTAGGCTATCTTCAAATATCATTGAACTTAAGATTGGTACTCAATTGTTTCTGTCTTTGACTTTATTCGATAATCCATCGCTTATGTCCATTTTCAATCAATTACAAACACTAGAATTATTAACAGAAAATGTTGACGGATTAGAATTATTAACAGCTAATGTGTATTTTTCTTTAAAATATGCATCAAAATTAATTCAACATTTTTCTTCACTTACCGATATTCGACTTCAGGTATATTCATTTGATATATGTGCACGTCTTGTTGATATTCTTCTTGACGGATTGGTCACTTTGCTTTATCTTAAAATATATTTTGTCAATGGTGTAGTATTTGACAATCCAAATCTACGTGATTATATTATTGAAAAGCGTCATCAAGCATTTCCATGCAGAAACTTCAACAATGATCATGTCATTGTCATACTCCAGAAACAATCATTGGAAATTTATCTCGCATGACTTCATCTATCTATGTTTTTTTTCTTGAATAAGTGTTAAATAAAATAAAGTGAATCGTTAATCCATTTGAAAAGTTGATCCATAGTCAAAGAAAAACCTGTCTGACATAGAAAAAAAATCAGTTCTGTACATGATATAATTATTTTACCAAACGGCTTCTTTTTGTTTTCGCTTAATTTTCTAAGTTCATGATCGAATCAGTCTCATGTAACAATTGAATATCAATAAATTCAATAACTGCAGAAATGCAAATTCATTGAAATACTTCCTTATCACACGAACATGCATAAACACTCATTGTCTCAAAAAGAATTGATAACCGAAAATCATTCAAACAGTAAATATAACTACATTCAAAAAATGATACGCTTAATAAAAGGTCTATCTTCTATATTTATTATGTTTTGGAACTTTGAGAATAAAAAAAGTACCATGAAAGGAAGCAACAAGTTATTTAAATTCAGAGAAATTGCGAAGAGTCTACAAAAACACCGGCTTTCCGCATTGTTTCCACTTTTTACTCGTTCTATTTCCGCTATTCTGACTTGAGACGATGGCAATCTAATCATAATATACATTTTATTGTATAAGGTCATATGTATGTAATTTCTAAACGCTCAATCGCATAGAATTTTTAATCACTGATGGAACACTAAAATCGAAATATTAATTCTTTGAATAGGCGATAATTTAAGAAAATTAAATCTATATACTATAACGCAAATATCTATCGAAATTCAAATTGGATGAGATCTCTATGTTGAAAAAACTCATATCGTCATGTTTTATTACTTCTAATATGACTTAAGTACGTGTTGCTTTCTAGTGAGATTTTATGCTAAAAATAATATCAATAATGTGGTGGTAAATCTGTTTTTTCTTTTCTTTTAATTGAATTTTCCATTAGAAATTATAAGCTAAACTATAGTAATAAAACCGAATAATTGATCACACCTATATTTAGTTGTATTACATATATCTTCAAGGCAATTATATTGTTTGCTTGGTTTGGCTCAAAGAAAAAAAGAAAGAAAGTTAATGATCATGATCGTATTTTTTACATACAAGAATAAACATGTTAAATGAATTCAATAAATGGCGTTACATTATAAATGAACAATGATGCGGAAGATCTTTCAAAGCAATATAGTCAGGTACATATACGAAATTTCTAACTAATCAACTCATACAAAAACCTGTATACATAAATTTGTCAATACATATGCAATTAGATTTTCTACAGTTTAAAATAATCTCTTCATCTTTATAAGAAAATACTATCTGTTATTATAATGCATTTTCTAATATAATATTTCTTTAAAGAATTGCGTTGTTTTTAACAAAAAAAAATACAATATTCAAATAAATAATGATTATTTCATTAAAACTAAATATTTTTGCAATTTAAATCTGAATAATATTGTAAGAGAGTCTATTCTTTGAATAAAGGATGTTTCATAAGTTATGGGCCTATAAAATCTCGAAATTGAACAGTTTTTTTTTTATATGAATTTTACTGAACTATGAATTCATTGTATGTAACGTAACGCAGTTACACAAAACGATACACAGTATCTAGAGTGTAGATGTGACTGTCCTCTGTACCTGCATCCTAATTATCATGTTTCTTCTGTTTATATCACTATTATTAAAACTTTCTTTAACATGGCATTCCAATTCGTTAAACAAAGTTCATCCACTCAATCAACCGAATTAGAAAACACTATTATCTTTCCTTGCTCATCTCGATCTATTTTTCTGCATCGTTCAAATTGTAATTCTCACCTAATCTTTTCAATTTTTTTCTATGTTTCCTCTTTTTTTCGCTACAATATGTGCTAGAAAACTTTTACGAAATGTAAATTGTCAGAACTGATAAGATCAATTCACTCAAATAAAAGCTCTTCATAATAACAAAAATTACTATTATTATTAAAAGAAATAATATCATCGGATAATATGTCATTTAAAACATCATCCTAAATTTTCGAAGCTCGTATAGAATATAATCACATAGGGATCACTCTTTGTTTACACATATAAATTAATTTTCATTTAGATCCAGAACTTATGGAACACTTTTTTATATATAATTTGCTTTTATAAATTATGTTTACTATATGCAACAACGAATTTAGAGGAGGGCGCTAAGGACAATTGCCCACTTTCCAAAAGATTTTTCTCATTTTTTTTCCCAGCAGAAAAGCCTTAATAATGAGTTAATATTATCTCTAATGAGCTTTAAAATATGTTTTGTAATCATGATCACCTTCTATCATAAAAATCTTCAATCTATCACTGAATATATGGAATATATAAATAAGCATATGTTAGTTGAGTAATTCTTTTTTTGATAAAATGATGTCACTACTTTCTAGTTAAAAGAAATTGTTCTTAATTCTGATTGGTGTTTAATACTTCTGTCTTTCTATTTATTGCCGTCATTATTTCTAACATCATGTAATCACAAACGTTTTTTTTTATTTTCTTTTCAATATCTTAAATATGGATAATACAAATACGGATAATCCATATGATGTTCTATTCGAACGTTCATTAGCAGTTATTATACGTGAATATGGTTTTGATAATATTGAATTATCTGCTTATCATCAATTTCTTGATATATCAAATACAATTCTACGTCGATTATTACTTAATGTTAAAAATTTTATGGAAATTCAATCACGTACAGAACCATGTCCAGCAGATCTTGCACGTTCATTACAAATGATGAATGTTAAATTATCATCATTACAACAAACATATAATCATCCAATAAAACATCGTCTTCGTTCACCTGATCGTCAAACTGAAACACATCCAATGAAATTATTTCGTGTTACATCAACAACAAATAATACATCACGTAAACATCGTCCTATATATATACCTGATTTTTTACCTGAATTTCCTGATCCACATACATTTATATCAAGTGAAACATATGCTGATTTACGTAAAGATTATCCACGTGTTCGACATTTATTAGCTGATCAACGTCGTGCATTACAACGTTCATTAGTTAAATTTAAATTACAAACAAATGAAAAATTATCTGTTATTAATACACATGGAACTAATATTAATGATTATTATCTTATTAAAAATACTATTTCACCATTACCCTATCTATCAGCTTTATTACCACAAGATCAAATGGAATCTGAAAGTACAGAAACTATAGAAGATGAAACAGTAGCTAATATATCACATAGAACAAAATCTTTATCAGCAACAGATGATGGTGAAATGTAATTAGGTAAGCTATAAAATAAATTGTTCTTTTTATGTAATTGTATATGTTTCTCTTTTTTTTTTTTTTTGGTTTGTTTACAAAAAAAAAGAAAAATAACTAATGAAATGATCTTTTTTTTCTTTTTGTTGTAGATTATATGAAAATATTGTAACTTAAATGAGGTTTTTAGTTGAGAGAGTAAGATGTGAATGAAATTTTTTCAAGCTGAAATTTAATTATTAAAATACTTTTGATATTTAAAACCTATGTGATAATTAGGAAATAAAGAAAAAAAAAAGAATGAATTTATGTTTAAGAATTATATGATGTAAAAAAACAAAAAAAAAAAATGTCTATTGAAGATTTTTAATTAATCATAGATATTAAAGAATTTCTGACGAGAATTAAAAATTTTTATAATAATCAAGTAAAATCTGTTCTATTCTATAAAACTATAATTTGAAAATTAATTTAGATTTTGATGAAGAAATCTCGTATGAAAATGAAGCTTTAATTCGATTGATTTTTATTTTGTGTTTGACAAAATAACAATTATTAAACTATTTATTGATATCTTTAATTCAAAGTTTTGATTTGAATTCTATACTTAATTATTATAAAATTTTTATAACAAAATTCTTTGTTTTTGTTCACTTCATCAAGTCTCAAGCTTTGTCTAATCCAACATCAAATATCTCGAAATATAATCATTTTCTTTTAAAATTAAAAATTAATAATATGCGTGATCAGAATTAATAGATTGTTTTATTTTGTATACTTAAGTTACGAATGAAACTTCACTCTATTGTTTATTTGGTTTTTTTACTCTTGGTTAAATAACCTTTGATTTAAATATTTTTATATTCTAGATCTAATCTTCTTTTTTTTCTATGTCTCATACATCATCATCATCATCAGCTGCATCACATTCACCTCGTTTTGGGGATCGTTTATCACAGCCTTCTATTCCAAGACGTGAACGAACACTTTCACAGTAAGAATTTTTGTTTTCTAAATAGACTTGTCATCATGAAAAAATGTACCCATGATCTCTATATCATTCGACATCCAGTACAAGAATTATTATTCACTTTATTAAAAGGAAAAGATTCTTGATATTCAAAAGTTTTAATTTCTTGCTTTACGTATAAGATCTATACTAGAAAACAAAAGAAACCCTAGATAGTATATCTTATTCTAATAAAAATTTATTATTCTATTATTAAATACGGCTAATTTAAATAATAAATATTAATTCTTTTTATGATTTAGATGTGAACGTGCATTACAAAGTCCATCATATGAAGGTACAATTGAAGAATTTTGTCGTGAACGAGGTCATGGTTATATTCGACCACATGATCATTCAAATGAATTAATTTTTGTACATGTTTCTGAGTAACTATGTTTTTTGTTTTTTTGCTGACAAATTATTTTATTTTAATTTTTTTAATATATCTATTCAGTATTGATGATGATTATGTACCAAAAAAAGGTGATATTGTTTCATTTAAAAAAATGTTAATGCCACCAAAAAATGAAAAAGTTATGGCCGTACATATAAAACTTCTTCATTTAGCTGAAGGTGTTAAACATGAATCATGGGAAGAAGCTGTTGAACATGATATGGAACATCGACGACCATCAAAAACAAATTCAATACCACTTATACAAGATACAGATGAAAATAATGATCATATACAACAGGTTTTATCTCATAGATCATCTGTTACTCATATTGATTAAATTTAACAAAACTTAA